GAAACGACACGCTGTCTACGTCATCACTGATATTTTGGCATGGCAGCGGCGGCTTCAGATTGAACTACACAGGCATTATGAGGATAGACTATCCTATAGTATTAGTGTGTAGTATCCTTGCAGGAAACTGAGGTCCAAAAGTATCTCTTTTAACTGAGGCTTAACGATAATTATTCCTTAAATTGACAGTTTTGCATGGGAAAATGTCACTTTAAGGAATAGTTATCTCTAAGCCTCGGTTAAGAGAGACGGTGCAATCGGGCATTTAACCCATTTCCCAAAATCACAAAAAAAAATACTTGCTTCTTGATGTTACAGATTGGGTACCAAGATCGTGTGTTAAAATTGTGTAATTGTGAAAAATGAAAGCGTGTAAAAACGTGTAATTTTACCAGCATATCGTGCAATTTCACAAATTCAGATTGACAACACTGCCTTGCATATACCTACATAATTTGTAGTCATTTATTGATTTTTTTTTGACAGCCATGCGGAAAAGATTTAGATTTTTCCGCACCGATATCCGTGCGGAAAAAAATTCGCCGCACCGTGCGAGAAAATCGATTTTCCGCACTGTTAAAATTTTTTTTGAAGGCTCAAAGTAAACGTTTTTGGGCGTGGCACCCGGGAAAAAATGGCTGATTACCCCCCCCCCCCCCCCCCCCCAGACGCATGGGCTGGATACGCCGGTGCGATGAGCAATCCTGCGGATAGCGGATAGTGAAAACGAGGTTCAGCTCTCAGAAACACCTGCTAAAAAACGGAGAAAACAAGGATACAAGATTTGATAATAAAATGTTTATTTCTTATGGATGTAAAATCATGTTTACTTTGTCAAAAATCTATGAAAACACATTGTTGTGCTTTATTTTTTTACAATATTAAGCAATTTTTAGTCTTACGATTTTTCTTTCTCGATTCTCACGATTTTTTTAAAATTCATCTGGCAACACTGTATATCGTTGGATTCGTCTATCAAAGGGTTATGTAAATGTTTATTGAAATATGGGGTGTTCTATTGAAAAAAATGAAATTTTATTTGTTCAGCCTCCGGGTGTCCCACGGTGGATGGCGTATTAGACGTTTATGGAGAACTAAAAAGCGGATCATTTTGAAAATTTGGCAACCGGAATAAACGACCATGATCTACACTTTAAAAATATTTTTGACCATGCGGTATTGCCGCTTCTACTCTAAACTAGTGGCAACATCGCTATTTTAAATAGAACACCCAGTATGTGATTGCATATTTGGATTCTACGTAAAATTCTGAGCAGATTTCATGTGATATACCCTATACCTAAGTTCAACTGTTTTGGAAATATTGACAGTTGAAAATTGACTTTTTGCAACTTTGACAGGCTGTAAAACCTAATTGGTTAATTTTAGAGGAAAACCGATTTCACATTCCTATCTTAGATTTTGATAAACTATCATTTGACACCAACTTTGAACTTAACCGGAGATTAAATTTAACTGAAATTTTTAATCCTGGATTTGATTCAAAGTTGGTGTCAAATGATAGTTTATAAAAATCTAAGACAGGAATGTAAAATCGGGTTTCCTCTAAAATTAACCGTTCAGGTTTTACAGCCTCTCAAAGTTGCAAAAAGTCAATTTTCAACTGTCAATATTTCCAAAACAGTTGAACTTAGGTATAGGGTATATCATATGAAATCTGCTCAGAATTTTACGTAGAATCCAAATATGCAATCACATGCGGGCTGTTCCATTTAAAATAGTGATTTTGCCACTAGTTTAGAGTAGAAGCGGCAACAACGCATGGTCAAAAATATTTTTTCTACTGACGTTTCATAATAGCGACTTTTCGATTGTCATTTTAGTTTTTAAATGGCATTCTTTTAAGCACTAGTGCGTAAAAGTGACACTTTTAAGCACTAGTGCCTAAAAGTGTCACTCATTGTTCAGAAATAAAAAACGCAGATTTGAATTTTGTCTATTTTTTCATAAATGTTGTAAATGCAATTATTTGAACTACTAAAGTAAACGTTTGGGTTACTCAAAACAGAACTCTGTTGTTTTTTTTAATAGGATTTCAATTTTCAATCAAAAAAACCTCATGAAAGGTGTCAATCAAAAGCAGGTGCCAAACTTTTTTGGCGTGATCGGCTCTTATTTACGAGGAATAAAATTATGTTTTTTTTTCAGTATGAAACGCCAGTAGAAAAAATCTTGTATACAACACGTAACGAAACGATGTCTTTTAGTCACTCGACGTGTTGTCCAACTCGGCTACGCCTCGTTGGACAATTTTCACGTCGCGTGCCTAAAAGACACTCATTTCGTAACTTGTATAAATAGCTATTCAAAGTGTAGATCATGGTCGTTTATCCCGGTTGCCAAATTTTCAAAATGATCCGCTTTTTAGTTCTCCATAAACGGTCTAATACGCCATCCACCGTGGGACACCCTGATGCTTATCATCTTCCAATGAGTTTCTAAAAAGTTTCCAAAAAGTTTGAACGAATTTCTAGTGTTTCAACATGTTGAAAAAAACTTGTTGATGTATATGGTAGAGCGACAACAAAAACAATGCAAAAAAATTGTGGATAATTTTATTAGAAACAACTTTTGTTTTTTTTTTTTTTATCTACAAACGTGCGGTAACTAAGATATATTACACGATTTTGCGTGCGGTAAGTACCTACCATATTACCGCAAGGTTTGCAAATTTCTCTCGCGTGCGGTAATAACCTAGTTACCACACTTATTATATAATATACTATTACAGCCCTTGTAGATGTCGAGATAAGGTATAGGCCCCTTTTAAACGAGCCACCCTGTACAACGCACTTGTAATGTAAATAACTATTACAATCAATTGAATTTTGTAATTTTTATTTGAATGAAAACTAGAAAATTACAATAAATTTTAACAATTTCATTTACTTTCGGCCTACGGGAGGAAAGTAAACTTCCAATCCGTGGGTTGAAAGTAAAAGTCAAAAAAGTGACATTTTCAAACTTTTTAAGTCAGAAAAGTCAACATTACATGTATGATTTTAATAGTTATTTATAATATAGTACGGTATGAGCTTCATTACAGTAACGAGTGGGGAACATTGCCAAGACGAGGCCGTGGACCGAGTCGCGGTAACCACACGAGTGCTGTAATAGGCGTTACAGTAGGTACGTGTGATATACAACACTTTATGTACGACCCAGATATTTTTTTGTATGTATGTACTCGAAATGGTTTCAATTTTTCACTACAGATTATATTTATAATTTTTTCGAATAAATGAATTAAAAAGAAGCTGTTTTTCAATAAAAAAAGAGTTACGTAATGAGCTCATTACATCAATAGTACGATAATACAACTTATTACGTAACTCAAACAGGCTGAGTTACGTAATAAACTCTTACAGTATGGGTCGTACATAAAATAGTACACATACGGTATGTAATATACCTATACTATTGCCGATTCTTTGACTCATTTTAATTCAGTTTTTGAAGCCAATAAATTTTTTTCGAAATATTTTGACGTAAACAATTGTAAAACTTAAATTTATTGCTAAATATCTCAATACAGGTACTTTTGTTTACATCAGATCAGGCGTCAGACTTATTTGTCTTCGCTTCAGTATATAGACCCAAAAATGTTTTACCATAAACATATTGTTTTCTTAGGTTCGGAAAATCGTCACTCATCTACTACATCTAAAATCAGCTGATAAGAAAATTCTGACAGAATAAGCTGTGTTTTGGCATTGTTAGGTATGTCTATAATTATGGGCTCTTGCTGTTACAGGCTATTACTATAGACTCTAGTTTTTTGTTAATTATTGTTAAGTTTTGACTTGCATGTAGCTAATGTGTTTTGTTTTTTGCCTCTAAAATAAAAAGCGCTGTTTCTAAATTGTGTGTAGGTATTTGAAATCTTGTTTAATTTTTAGCCTAAATAATTACCCCCGTTCCCTCCACCTCCAAATCAATTTCTGGGGCGGCAATTCCTATTTTTGCCCAAGAAAGCCGAAAGGCTAGAGCGGACCCTGCTAGAGATAACAATTTTCTAGCGTAAGTCTACTTTATGGAATAACTCTTGCTCTGGACAATAATAGTTATTTATATTACTAGTACGGTATGAGCTTCATTACAGTAACGAGTGGGGAATATTGCCAAGACGAGTTCGTAGACCGAGTCGTCGTAATCACACGAGTGGTGTAATGAGCGTTACCGTACGTGTGATATACAACATTTTATGTACGACCCAGATTTTTTTCATATATTCGAAATGGTTTTAGTTTTTCACAAAGGATTATATTTATAATTTTTGATAAATGAATTTTAAAAAGTGCCGTTTTTCAATAAAAATGAGTTACGCAATGAGCTCTCATTACATCACTGAGTGATGTAATGAGCTCATTACATCACCAATCATGATAATCCATTTTATTACGTAACTCAAACAGGCTAAAATGAGTCTCGTAATAAGCTCTTACAGTGTAGGTCGTACATAAAGTATGTTTACAAGATACGCAACACCTATCAGAGAAGCTAATTTATGAAGTAGCAAACAGTATCGAAACAACAAATAATTAGAAAAATCTCACTTAATAAGGCCTCGCCTACACATTTTCAATTAATCATGTCAATCTACGTAATGGAAAACGTGCATTACACGAATGATGGCTGTAATTTGCAGTAGGTAATACCAGTCCCTGAAGGAACTATTAAACTTGCAGCAAAAAGTCTCACGGCAAATACACATCGAACTTTACGACCTTGCACCACTAAAAATAGCCATTTGACCTGTTTGGCAAAAATATTTCCCAAAGCCCAGCCCTTTGACCCATTTCCGGTAAGGGGAATTTGCGTGCGATTTTGATAGCTTTGGTGCTAATTAGAAACGTATTTAATTATTTTTTTGTGTTGGGAGAATGGCTGAAATATATAATTTATTATATTTAAGTTTATAGGGATTTACCATGAATTTTAGCCTGTTGTTCTAATATTTATAAGGCATAAAATGTTACCTCTAATTTCTTATTTGACTTCTCGGGAGACTGTCCTAAAGAACAGGTCAATTCACCAATAACAGCGTCCTTATACTCGGTAAGTTGGCTAAGGGTCTGGATTCTCTTTTGCAACAAAACATTCTTAACACCAGTCTTTTGTTGCACTTCCAAAATGGCTTGAACAAATTTGTCGTGGAGTTCGTCCCTCTCTTCTTGAAGCTAAAAATCAACATGAACCAATAAAAATTTGATCAAAATCAATCAGTTAAAATCTGACGCAACCTACGAAGGCCTGATATACCTATCTGTTCTTATGTCTGTGTTCAATGACAATGCTCATTGCTCAGTATGTAACTGAGGTATGGCTACGAAATTACATGAATTGTAGAGATTTCTGGGGTCGTCTAATTCTGTATATAGAGCTCTAAGCTTGTAAGTTCAAGTCAGTTTCAATAAGAATTGCTAAGTTAAGTAGAATAAGCGGTGAGTCAGTTGTGAATTTTCTAAAGTCAAGAAGTTCAATAAAAGTTGTTGCTGTTAGTATACCGGGTGCCCACGAGATCACTTTCCGGCTGCCATTTTTTTATTTATTTATCGATATCAACGAAACTTGGTAGAGTTGATATTCTAACCAAACGCCATTTTTATGCATTTATGACAAGTTTTCCCGACTTCCGGTTTCACCGGAAACGACAGCAACTTTTGATTTTTAAATGGCACACCCTGTATATTTTTTGTTTTTCGGATTCTACAGATCGTTTTACATCCTAATGCACCACTTTTGAATCGATTTTTGTCCAAATTTTATTTTTAAATTAAATTTTATTTTTTTAACTAGAGTGCCATGATCATCCTAAAATGACTCTACATACTTTACTCAATTTCAGAAAAATACAAACTCAATTTTATCTTTGTAAACTTTTTTGATAGAGGGCTGTAAGCTCCATTATTTCAGTATTTTTGCCCTAGCTCAAAAAGTAGAATAGAAACATATTACTTTCATAACATTACTAAATGCAGTATTTTAAAGCGAATCCAACGATATAATACACTACGACATTTTTCTCAATTTTTCGTTCATGTACTTATTTTTGTAGGTAATTTTTTTTTCTACTTAAAATTTAATTTGAAAACGAAATTTGGACAAAACTCGATTTAAAAGTGGTTCATTAGGATGTAAAACGATCTGTAGAATCCGATAAACAAAAAATATACAGGGTGTGCCATTTGAAAATCAAAAGTTTCGGTAATTTCCGGTGAAACCGGAAGTCAGAAAAAGTTGTCATGAATGCATAAAAATGGCGTTTGGTTAGAATATCAACCCTACCAAATTTCGTTGATATCGATGAACAAATAAAAAAATGGCAGCCGGAAAGTAATCTCGTGGGCACCCGGTAGATAGAGAGTGTCAGTAGGTTAGAGCACATTCAAACCCCTGATTATTTTTAACGGCTGTCAAATGAGAGCAGAAGTACCGGCACTAAGTGGACTTGTGAAATTCGTGAGCATTTTGTGTCAGAATTCGAATGTAAGAAACAGGAAGGGGAAGCTCGAGGACAGAAAGAGAAACAAGAAAATCGTATCCGAAGAGGGAGGGAAAAACAAAAAGAACAGGGCCACTTCACGAAAATTTTAAATTCCAACGAAAATGGATTTAAACCTTAATGTCTGAGGAACAAACCAGATTCGAGAAAATCCTGGAAGGATAATATAATGAATTCAAAAATGCGCCATGGGAGACGTGGAGAAGTTAGAAGCAGTTTTCGCCAGGAAAATAGAACAGGGTACAAGCTTGATTGTAGCATTACGTGGCCTTGTCCTAGAGCTATCAGAGACTCTTCAACCAGCTTCCTAACGAAACTATATCGTGTGGTTGTTGATGCATTAGAGTATGGTGATTAACACCAACGGCAGCTCTACCAGGTGCAGCTACGAAGAGACAACAGAAAGCTGTCGTAAGTTTACAAGAATTTGAAACAACCGTTTGTTGAATTTGGTGTACCCGGAAATAACTGCAGAAATGCGAGACCAACTAGCGGCCGATAGTTTCCGACCGAATGTTAGTGCGTTGGAAGAAGATTACATTTTAAACGTGACTGTAGATAACGGCTGAGATTTCGCTCTCTTTCTGGTGACTCTCATACTCTCATCCTTCAATGGACAACTTGAAATGGAGTACCTACCGAATGTTGCCGCTGCGGAAGAGAGGACATTTTGAACGTGACTGTAGAGAACAGCTGAGGTTTCGCTCTCCTACTGGTGGCTCTCAGCTCTCAGCTTTCAATGCAGAAGATGCAAATGAACTACTTTCAAATCAAGCATCATTCTGGTAAACTGCATAAGAGCGCAGATATCTTATCCAAGCAACCATACCCAAGTCAATGCAAGCACTGCCTTAGAATTGATTAGCCTGAAGGGTGAAGGAGTTCCTGTTAGAAGCCTCTATTTGAAACGGAGTTCAGTTATTAGAAGTGCTTAAAAAGAAAAAAGTGACATCAAACTATTTCTGAATTCAAAGTAAATCGACAATAGATCGCCAACAAACTGGAAAATAAAAATCCGGCGAGCGAAGAAAGAAAAACCGGAATCAAAAAGATTCTTGGGATGCGTCTCTGGATCCAGAAGGTCAATATTATCTTTAAACAGACGTTTTACAGATTCCTACGATGATGAATACTACGAGTGCTACGACCGACCGCGCACCAATTGAGTTAGTTCCCATGAATTCAGTCCATGAGAAGAAAAAACACGCAGGCGTAACAATAGATCTGAATGAGGAAGAATACAGTCTAGAGGGCATTTTTTCGACTGGCATGGAGATGTTGAGCAAGTGGAGAGTTGGTATGATGAAAATGATTAAGACAAAGAGCATAGATCTAGAGGATATTCTATCGATAGACTCGGTTGTAAGGACCTGGACCTGAAAGGCATAGTACTGCTAGTAGTAGGAAGATGGAAAAGGATAGATGGGATGATTACAGATCTGATCTGGAGTGGAGGTGTAGACGTAGAAGAAAAGGCAGACTAGTTGGAGGCTTATCACGAGAATAAATGGTCATATCGGGACGATCTGATTTGAGAGGGAAGCATAGTGCTACGAAATTAGATTGGCCCTGAAAAGCAAAAATCGTTGTGCACGACCGGTTCGAGAATATTGAAACATTCGTTTTGATTGCATGCATAGAATCGACAAGAGATTACGTTAAGTTATAATTAGTTCAAAAAAGTGTATGTTAGTAGAGAGACTTTCAATGGACCCGCCGCATTCATTACAGAATAATCTACGTTGGTGTCATTATGACACATTTGGCATTCTCATTTGAATGTCATTAGGTCCTTCATAATAGCACTACTGCTCTTTTGAATGATACACGTTCCATAGGAACTTGATTAATGAAATCTGTGTAACTAAACCACGAGGCGTCGAAAATGTCGCGAACATGTCACGCATCACGCGAAAACTATCCTGTTGGCCAAACAGTAAGCGTAGAGAAAATTATAGATGCAGGTGCTAATAACTAGCGAATCGTACGATTTTTTCTCGAGAAATATACAGCGTGTGCAAAAAGAATGGAACACCTACAGGGGTTTGGATTTGAAAACTATCTTTTTTTTTTGAAAAATCGTTAGGAACCGTCAATTTTATTTTCAAACTGCACATTTTTTGGCGAAAAAAAATTATACATGGTGACCCAAAAATGAAGGTACTTGCATCAACTTTATTATTTTAAATGGCAACCCTGTATATTATTGCATTTTTGGTTTCTACGAGAAAATATGAACATATTTCTTGTATAATATCCTATGCCTATTATATTCAACTGTTTCGGAAATATTGCCAGTTGGAAATTGACTTTTTTGCAGTTAATTTTAGAGCAAAACGGCAGCCTTATTCTGTAACTTGCGACCGAGAGAATTGCGCAATCGTCGCTGTCAAATCGCTATTTGACGCGAGTTTTCTATTCAAAAAAAGCAACTTGCGACCGGTTGCTAGTTGCTATGTAGTTGCTGTTCGTAGAGAATAAGCCTGCCGATCATCCAATCTTATCTTAGTTTTCCATAAGCTCATCATTTGACACCATCTTTGATTTTAATCCATGAATAGAAATTCCGGTTGAACTTAATCCCCGGTTAAATTCAAAGTTGGTGCCAAATGATTGTTTATGGAAAACTAACACAAGGATGTATGATCGGTTTTGCTCTAAAATTAACCGTTTAGGTTTCAAAACCTGTCAAAGATGCAAATAAGTCAATTTTCAACTGTCAATATTTCCGGGACAGTTGAAGATAATATGTGGATATTATACAAGAAATATGTTCATATTTTTTCGTAGAATCCAAAAATGCAATAATATACAAGGTTGCCATTTAAAATACCAAAGTTGATGCAAGTAGCTCCATTTTTGGGACATCGTATAAAAAAAAATAATAAATAAAAAAGAATTTTATTTAAACTGAACATAAAAACAGATTAACATTGTATCCTTAAAATTATGCACAGTAAACACTTAAAATAAAATAAACCTACTTAATAAAAACACATTATTAGTTTTTCCCTTCCATCAACAAAAATATCAAAATCGGGAAATTCTGTAACAAACACATTGACACCATGCAAACATCTATTCAAAAGAGAAACAGAGTTAGGGTTAGAAATTTTAAAAATATTATCCCTCCGCCTCAGCCTTATATCTGGTACATTAAAACATATCTTATGAAGTAAATCAGGTACAGTAGTTTCTACGCTTTGGTTGACTAGATTAAATATTAACAATACATCATTAAACTCCCTACGCCTCTTAAGTTCTACAATACCAAATCCATCAAGTTGGGATTTATACGAGATGAGACGAGGATAACAAGGATAAAATCCATGCTTCCTAAAAAACATAAACCTCAGACACCTTTTTTGGATTTTCTCCAGCATGTCTTTATGATACATTGTTGTAGGGTTCCATATTATACTGGCATATTCCAGTTTTGATCTTACATATGCATTAAAAAGTAGTGTGTAAGTCTTTGGGTTTCTGAAGTCTGCACAGGAGCGCAGTACGAAACCCAGCTTACTCATCCCATCTGCATACAATCCATCAATGTGTCCACCAAACGAGAAACTTCCAGAGAACAGTATTCCCAGATCAGACATTTCCTGAACCCTGTCCAACGCTGAATCATTAATTCTGTATTGTGTTATGACAGGAGTCTTGCTCCAAAAAATC